ATAAGACCAATGCGAGGTTGAAACTGCAGTCCACTCTAGTCGGGATGAGAACAACTTTTGGGAAAGCAAGGCTATGTGAAATTTCAATGGAAACGTCAGTGGGAAAATTCTACTACCAGTCCTTCATCACCTTACAAGAAATAGGGTGAATACATCTCATTACACTGATTTACTGGTAGTCTCGAAACCCTACTCAAATACGAACCTTTTTTTGTTTTTGGTCTCAATGCGAGAGAGAAAGAGTGAGCTAAAAGTACAGAGAAGTGATAATGATTAGATGCGAAGAAAAGTTGGGTTTCGATGATCAAAGAGGAATTTGCCGGAGAGTTTTCTCGAGTCGTTAGCTTGACTTTTGTAGTCGAAGGAGATTGCCTCGGAAACAGCGTCGGCATGAATGTTCCAATAAAGCCCATCGTCTTCCGGTGGAACCGACCTGCAAATCTCTTCACCCAACACTCTCGCTCGAAATGGAAATAAGCTTGATAATTTCGTTTATCCTCTTTAGGACACATTCTATTTGGTGTCCGAGATCAAGTTTTCCACTTATCCAACGAGACATGAGAAAAGATGTAATAGAAGGGTTACCTGGAACCACGCCATAGAGGAAGAGGAATAGAGGCAGTGAACTGCAGTAAACGGAGAGCATAAACGCCAGAGAGGCCATCAAGCCGGCGAGGCATCCTGCCTTCCGTGTGCCCAAGGAGACGACTAAGAAGCTGGACACGGGACCTACAAGTTGGGAGAGAGAAAACGTCCTCAGGTTAGCTTCAAACGGTAACCAACGTTGAAGAATGGGTGATGGATTGAAGCGGGTCTGGTGCGAAGGTGGCTAGAGGAGATGGCTTTTGTGATTACGCTTTCGGCAGGAGAGGAAGTGAGGGAGGCAGCCTTCTCGTTGCCAAGAGTGAGTCTTCTTCGATGGTGAATATGCTGAAAAGACACATGGCAACGTGGCCTACAGTTTTGGCCACTTTGCTGGCCTCATCGGGACTCGCTGGAGGTGTTGATAAGACCGATGCTAGGTCGAAACTGCATTCCACCCTCGATGAGAACAACTTTTTTGTAAGCAAAGCTACGTGAAATTAAATGGAAACGTCATCTCTACTCATATGATTGTGGGAAAATTCTACTACCAATCCTTCATCACCTTAAACGAAATAGGTTGGATACATCTCACATTATCAGTTTACTGGTAGTCTCGAAACTCTACTTATATACGAAAAATAAACAAATACTGACGGCTTCGAAATCTACTTTTATCAAAAATAAGTAGAGCCTTCGATCCCAGTATAAAAATGTGGGTTGAGCGAAGCCTGGCCTGCCCAAAATATCGCAGCTGTACGGCGAACCAGTGACGTCCGTGGCTGTGTAGTGTAGGATACTCGCGAATCGGTATCGCATATCTCTGGTCGTCAGAACAGCAGTTCATTCTCGGTGTAATGCCTTTCGTGGGGCAAGCCAAATTGACCTTCAATGACATTGGGGCGGCTCAAATCACCTTAACCCGCTTAGGCCGAGTTTTTATTCAAGCAATAATTTGGTTCGAAAACGACTCGCATAGAAAATAAGTAAAGTCCTCGAACGCAATGAGGTGAACAGGACAAGTAAACTATCAGTGCTTAAATCAGCTCAAGTGTCTCAGGCTAAAGTTGTATTCGAGAGTTACGTGAAATCACGACACCAACTTATATGGATAATATACGAAGAAAAGTTGGGTTTCGAGGAATCTCTAGTTTCATAATTGTTGTGCGTACTTCCATTTCGAGTAGAAGTGTTTGGTGAAGAAATTCGAAGGTCGGTTCCACGAGAAGACGACGGCGAATTCCTCTTGACCAGCTGTCGATTGGCTTTACTGGAACATTCATGCTGACGCTGTGGCAATCTCCTTCGATTCCGGTGAACCCGTGCTGAGCTTTCGTTCGTCATATGAAAACTCGTAAGCTTGAATTTCGTTGTGACGATGTTACCTCGCTCTGATGATGTCCGTCATATGACGCACGAAAGCTCAGCACTGGTTCACCGGAATCGAAGGCGATTGCCTCGGAAACAGCGTCAGCATGAATCTTCCAGTAAAGTCAAGAGGAATTCGCCGTCGTCTTCTGG